ATTTTAGGCAATTCAGCCTCCAATTAAAATTCAACTTTAAAACAACACATATTAGGAATCTTGAGCCAAACACACAAAATGTTGTTACTGAGGTTCTCACAACTAGAAAAAGTATGAAACTTAAAGAATATTCCTTACTAGTATTAGTAGTATCAATTTTCTAAAATAACAACAACTACCAAAAACAAAAGGCATTAAAATATACTGACAACAGCCTAGGTTACCATGTGTTGTAAGACTGCTGTTTGACCTTCACATCAGATGGACAGAACGAACTGCCCCGGTGCCCATCTCCCTCACATGTAAATGCACTCTGTACCACTCGAAAATCATTTTTCATTTTAGTTTAGTTTGTAGCAACTGAAAATAAAATAATTCATAATTATAATAAAGGTCAATCAAATGGACCAATATGGCAAGGCCATGATGATCCACTTGGTAAAATAAATCCGCTTGGCATCTTTCTTGGCCTTAAGACAACAATTCTGATGGCTAAAGATCCAAACGGGACACACAAAAAAAAAAAAAAAAAAAAAAATCATTTTTCAACATGTGATGTAGTCCAGTGACTTAAACAGAGGGTCCTGAATGTTTGTAACAAATGCTATGGCCCCACAGCCAGATGTTCTCAGATGTGGCATTAAAATGGAGAGGATGCTTGCTCCATGCATTTGCATGTCTTAAACCTAACTCTGGTCTCTTTTTAAATCTACCCAAATTAAAGTGTAAAAGAAAAATCAAATCAAGTCTGCACGTGAGTCTCAAGAAATTACACTAAAAAGACACATGATTAAAATAATTTAACTATTAAACATTTTTGCATGAGAACTGTGAAATTGCTGAATTAAAGAACTTGGCATCAAGACAAGCTTTTTTAAATCACCAAACTTTTCATTTTGGGTAGAAGCTGAAGGTTGCTGACATATGAGTGACAGCTGGTGTTTCTGCTGCTCTGCACAAACACATGCATTACACAGTCCAATGCCCAGAAATACAAAAAAGCAAGTAGTACTCCATGAGCAGAGAATGAGCCTAAATCTACTACAAAGCATTTGCACTTCACACAGCAAAATCTCCAGTGTTAAATTAACACTGGAGAGTGTCTATATGGGTCCACACCTCTGAGTGTTAAATACAACACTGTTGAGTGTTAAATTAACACTTTTGACAGTGTTATATGTTTAAAAGTAACCTAGTCAGTTTTGAAGATTAACAATGGCTAACACTGAGCAGTGCTGATTTTCTAACACTGGAAAATAACTCAAAATGTTAGAAATATTCCAGTGTTAGAAAATCAGCACTGCTCAGTGTTAGCCATTGTTAATCTTCAAAACTGACTAGGTTACTTTTAAACATATAACACTGTCAAAAGTGTTAATTTAACACTCAGAGGTGTGGACCCATATAGACACTCTCCAGTGTTAATTTAACACTGGAGATTTTGCTGTGCACTAAAGCAACATGACAGAAGAGTAATTGAATTTCTGATACCGCCAACCAAAATAAACACCCCACAGCCATTGGGACACGGAACAGTACTCTTGAAAAGTATATACGAAAAATACAATAAACTGTGCAATACTATTAAACTATACAGGTAAGATATGGTGTTATTTTTGTGCCACTATTCTGAGCGCACGTAAAATAAGTTGCAGGTGCAAGTGCTGCATTTTGAGGAGAAATTTATTTTGAGCAAAGAAAAGCTAAATCTCAGTGAACAAAATTCATTGCTGCGTGCAAAAAATGTATTTCAGTGTTTGCTATTATCCACACACACACACAACAGCAGCCCCTCTCGCTCAGTTTTTGCATTTGCGCTCGCTCGCAATGTGTTGCTTGCGCTCTCAACATTTCTGCCGGTGCGCGTTCAACTCTTTCTGTACACCGTTATATTTGTGCCACAAAACCAGTTTGAAATATTACTCTGTCTGGGTCACAAAATGTGTGCTATGCATAAGTGCTCTAACGTTTTCGGAGATGCCTGTTACCTGGTGGTGTAGTTGGTGATTTCTTTGTCAGTTCAGCCTTATATATCATGTTTAACCCGAGTGACCACCCGGTCAGCTGGTGGGTAACAGGCATCTCTGAAAACTTTAGAGCACTTATGCAAATATGAGATGTCTTGATGAATCGAGCAGATATTTGAAGTTTACACAGCACCATTCTCGCATGAAAATATCTTAAAAGTTTATTTTGTGACCCAGACAGAGTAATAATTCAAACTCCGCCACTCTGTGTTCCTCCGCCACTGCCTCGTTTGAGTTTTGGACGAAATGGATTCTGGGATATTGCATTTTGTCATTTCGAGCCGATTGGAGACCAAAACAGCCAATCAGATTTTTTTTGCATCCAAGTCTGTGATTGGTTTTGTGGCACAAATATAACGGTGTACAGAAAGAGTTGAGCGCGCACAGGCAGAAATGTTGAGAGCGCAAGCAACACATTGCGAGCAAGTGCAAATGCAAAAACTGAGCGACAGGGGCTGCTATTGTGTGTGTGTGTGTGTGTGTGTGTGTGTGTGTGTGTGTGTGTGTGTGTGTGTGTGTGTGTGTGTGTGTGGATAATAGCAAACACTGAAATACATTTTTTGCATGCAGCAATGAATTTTGTTCACTGAGATTTAGCTTTTCTTTGCTCAAAATAAATTTCTCCTCAAAATGCAACACTTGCACCTGCAACTTATTTTACGTGCGCTCAGAATAGTGGCACAAAAATAACGCCGTAGTAAGAGAGGTTAACTAAGAAACAGCAAAAGGATAAAGGCACAGTCCACCTAAAGCTTAGACCTTTTCTGAAATTCAGATACAGTACTCTGTACAGCTAGGAAGTGTGTGCATGTATCAGTTCTTAGTTTTTTTATTTGTTTTCTTCTTGCACCCTTTCTAATATTCTAATATTTGTTTGAATTTTTAAAAAGTAGAGGGATGAGTATATGAATAAGGGTGCGAAGAGCAGGGGGTGATTTGTCACAACATACGCAGTCATTTTGTTTATATATTTGCAAGCAATGTATTTATAAGCTTGCTCTCCCATTCACGATTTCAGATTCATAACTTTATTGCAATTATACTGCTTCATCTCCTTTGAAATTTCTGCTGGTTAAAGGCCAAAAATTGGACTCGGTCACTCTGAAGTTCAGTTACAGTCAGTCTTTTGCTATTCACCACCTTGAATATAGTGGCTGTGATGAATATGTATGTATGTGGCTAGAGACCGGCCACATATCTATTACTCCAAAGATGGGGAAGAAGAGAAGTCGTAAGTGTTTATGTGCACTGGAGGCAAATTTGAATTCGTGCCTGCACCTTCACTCGCAAGATATGAAAGATCACAACTGTAATTTCTCACCTGAGAAAGGTCCCCTTCACCCAAGAAGTGAAAACATTAACAAAAGTGACAACGTGATATCGCTGCAATTACTTGTCAGTAGAACAAGAACAAGTCTGAACAACAGCTAACAGCAGCTAACATTATGCTGTCCCTCTGATAAACAGTTTGATTACATTCTCACATCACATGAGAATTTATTCACTAAATGTCATGCCAGCAATGCTAGCAATACTTCAAAGACAGTTTAACACCATCTAATAGCAGCGAACAGAGGCTAACACCTGCTAACAGAGGCCAACGGGAGCTAACAAGTGGTAACAGCAGCTCTTACTGACAGAAAACTTCAGGATATCCTCAACAGCTCACCTCAGTATCACTTTCCTTTCACAAAGTGTTACAGCCTCCTCCAGAATAAATATATGTTGACACTCGGAATATTGACAGCTGAGGTAAACAGCTGACTTACAGCCTAGCATCACTACAGATTAATGGTGGACAGAGTTATTTGTGAGTAATGTGAGAAAATTACTGTGAGAATTAGGAATGGTAAGAACAGACTTCAGTTGACTGCAATCTACTGACATCTAGTGGTAAGATTTTAGACACTGTATCTTTAACTATATTGTACTTTAACGCTTGATTTTGAAGTGCAACTTATATGCCAAGAATTGCCGTCTTGCCCATGGCACATGTCCTAAACATTTCCTTCAGCATTTTCTAGTATGACTCAGATTTCAGTGCTCCATGACAACTGGTGTTATTTCCTCAAACAGAATACATCTTATTCAAACCAATAAGTTCAAATATGGTCTTGTTGTTTGGGATTGACTGGTACATGTCGCATTCTTGTGTGATCTCTGTTGGTCGATCGTTTCTGTGGAGGGTGAACATGATTTTGAATTTCTTCCATTTATAGACGATCTCTGTGAATTGTGGTTGTGTGTTGGAATCTAAAGTCTTTAGAGATACTTCTATAACCTTTCCTTGTCTGGTGAGTTTGAATATTACAGCATTGTGAAACCTAAAAGAGTTACGTTCAGTCACCCCTTCTCCATCTATTTCATTTTGCCAAACATGTTTAAGCTACAGTACCTGGAATTTCTCGATCCTACGTCTCTGCAGTTTATTGCAGAAACGCTGATACAATCTTGATGACTTGGCAGAAAATGGGTGAGAGAGAAGCAGTGAAGAAGAGTGTCAGCCTTTTAATTAAGTGGCAGATTTGATTATGAGGTAATGATATTTGCTTTGTGCAAATTTTAGTTTGCCATCAGCCTCATTATATTAGCACTTGAGAGACGGGGCCAGAGGGAGGCTTAATCTCACACTATGGAAATATGAGTGAATTGAATAGATGATGTAATTAATCTTCTAGAGTCACGCAGAGGGAGGGCAGGTAATGAGAGGAGAGGTGACAGACCTATTTACACATACAGAAACTGACACACGTATAAATTGCGGGTACAGTGTGTATTTTGATTCATGTGCTATTCAAGAAGTTACATCATTGACACAATTACCGTAATAAAGAAACACACACAGAGGTGACAGTGTGTAGTCGTCAGACTCACACACGCCCTGTCAGAGGGATTAATGTTCAAGAAGACAGAATGTGCATCACATGGTCTCACACTCTTTTCCACACTCAGACGGAGTAGGCGGTGACTCACAGTGTGAAGTTCTCCTCGGGGTAGCAGCGGTTTCTCAGCAGCCCTGCCCACAGCTGCACTCCTATGATGCCGAAGATGAAGAAGACGAAAAAGCAGAGGAGAAGGACGTTACCCAGCATGGGCAGTGTGTCGAGCAGCAGGTTCACCAGGATACGCATGCCTGGAGAGAGACAGACAAATACTTATGTGATGACACATCCCGCACAGCTCTATGGCTGACTTTACTTTATGATCTAAACGGAGCAATGGCGTTCCCATCCACTTGCTACGAAGCTTTATAGGAAGATTGTGTACAGGTAAAGAACAGCACACAAGAGGAAAAAGGAGGAATCATTTACTCATTTTATTTGCAGCATGAAGAGAAAAAATACCTATAAGTAATTACACACCAGCAGGAGAGCACCGAATCACAGCTGACTTATGCATATACAGTAATAAACCGACCTTAATTAGTGAACTGTTGTGAGCTGAACAGCAGTAATATTAGCACTACAAAGCATTACGAGCTTGGAAAGCATCGATGCAGTTCTGTTATTGATTTACTAGTAATGACTTTACTCTTGCCCCAAATCCCTATTTGACTTAAATAAAACAGTAAAAAAAACACAAAAAACACAAAACAACCTTTTTGTTCACAGTCAAGAGATTATTTGTCTTCTCAAACCTTGTAAGAGTCTTTCAAAGGATTTCTTTGGACATTGGCTGCTCATTTTTAGTCCAGCCCTTGTGTCTGAGCACTTTTAGTGCAGCTCAGGGCATGAACCCAGGTTGTTTCTGTTCAGGATAGAAAACTTAGCAAAAAAGTATATACAAATTGTATCCTTAACCACCTTTGTTTTTGGCAGCTTGTTGTAAAACCACATTATTTGTTTCTTTTCAGCTGACCTGTAAAAAAATGCCAAAGATAACACACGTTGGCATAAAATAGTATTTTGTACTATCAACCAAGTAACCAACAAGGTGATTTACAAACAAAGTAAGCTGCAAACTTGCCACATGTGAGCATTGTACTGTGTCTTTAAAAAATTAAGGACACTGGACAAGTACTGTTATCTTTCTGTTACAATTAACCTCTTTTCCATTCAGTCCAACCTGCCTGCACTCCCTCCTTCACCTCTCTTGCACACTCTGTTTATTGCTTGGCTGATCCCAGGTATTTAAACTCATGCACACCTTCACCACCTCTGCTCCTTGCAGCTTTATTGTTACACCTGTCTCCCTCTCATTCACACTCATTTATTCTGTCTTGTTTCTACTGACTTTCATTCATCTTCTCTCCAGAGCATACCTCCACCTCTCCAGGCTCTCTTCCACCTGCCCCCTACTCCCACAACAAAATGTCATCTGCAAACATCATACCCACACAGACTCCTGCCTGACTTGATATGCCAACCGGTCCATCACCAATGCAAACAAAAAGGGGCTCAGAGCCGATCCCTGATGTAATCCCACCCCTACCGTGACCTCATCTGTCACCTCATACCTCAGCTCTGTCTTGTTGTTCTTGTAAATGTCCCACCAGCCTCACATACTTCTCTGCCACTCATGTCTTCCTCGTGCAGTACCACAGCTCCAAAAACACAGTGCAGCTCCTTCTGATGGTCTCTATAGTTCTCTATTAACACTCTCAAAGTAAACATCTGTAGTGCTACGAAGCCATACTGCTGCTCACTGATCATCATCTGTCTTCTTCACCTGGTGTCAACAAACTTCAACAACTCTTTCCCTCTCAGCTTCGGTGTATGGCTCATCAGCTTTATCCCTCTGGTATCAGTATACCTCTTCTCCGTTCCTCAGGCATCCTCTCACTCTCCCAGCTTGTGTTAAACACTCTTGTCAATAAGTCGACTCCCCTCTCTCCTGGATATCTCCATGCCTCCACAGGTATGTGACTTAGGGAAATTATAAGATATCTTGCATAAGAGAGTTCATGCGATCATACCTAATATTGATATTCATGCTCGTTAGAATTACACACACCCTTACTTTAACCCAAATTTCACTAAATTACTGATCACAAAATCAAGGCGTTTGCACCGTACTGTATGACTGAAGCATTTTAGGAAGCACAGCAACAGTGTGGGAAAGAAAAGGTTGGTAAGAACTAATCAAACAGTTTTTGTATTTCACTATAATGTTTCCTTCTAACAGAGGTTAAGCAATCTCCAACTTTCTAGAAAAAGATCTAATGATGCCAGCTTAAAGTGTCATTCAGTTACCAAAACCTTGTTAACTTTGTTATATTTTGAAAACTAAGCTCTTTATAAGAGGCAGCACTGCTGACTGTGATAATTCTGTGTTCTGCTTTAAAATTGGATGAGCAACATACCCTTATGCTCCACTGGAAAATGGAAGACGTGCACAAACACACAAAAATCTTTGGATCTGTATAATTAGTGCACACAGACTCCAAATCCTCGTCTCACCTATCGCTTTCCCTGTCTTAAAACATTCTCTGCCATCCCTCCCACTCTTTAGTTGGTGCAGAAATTTACACAACCATTTCTATATAACTCGTCGTATTATCATAATTAGCTAATCAATCACTAATCTCCTCACTAATTCTAATCCCACAGCCAATTACTTTGGGGCTAAACACTTGGGGAAACTAAACCATGGGTTAAATTCTATCTGTAAAATGGATTGAAGATTGATACAACATTTAACTGATTAGTCAGGGGGAAGGCCATCCATAGATCCCCTTCCAGGGATCTCATTATATAATGTAATAAAAAGGATGTCTTACTTGATGAATGCATACACTGGAGGTGTGCAGCTGTACACAAGCAGAAGACTTGGAAACTTGACCCGTGTGTTTACAGTAAAAGTGATATTTCCATTTAAAATAAAGCTGTGTTTTGAATCTGATGTATATTTTCTGTCTGACCATGAAAGAATCTTCCCTATTAGTGATGGATACAAAGTTCAATTTTTTTTTATCTTCTTGTATAAAATCTTCTTCAGAGCTGCAGGAAGTGGTAAGTCACACATGGAAAATATTATTCATTTCTAATGAGAATTGAAATCCCCCTTCTGTGATTTTAGTTTTGGTGGGAATATATATATATATTAGGGGTGCAACGATATTCGTATCGATATTGAACCGTTCGATACAGTGCTTTCGGTTCGGTACGCATATGTATCGAACAATACAACATTTGTAATTTATTTTATCAACTTTTCTTCTGACGATGCTGTCTGTGTTGAGCGCTCAGTGAATCTGCGTTCGACTACTCCGCCTAGGCTGCACTGTCGAGCGCAGATCCACTGAGCGCTCAACACAGACAGCATAGTCAGAAGGAAGAGCGCATTGTAGGAAGGAAAAATATATGTCAATGCTTTTGCATTCTTTCAGAAATGTAGCTGGGTAATTATGTCATTGGCATCGGTGAGCCACTGTCAATATGTGACATATTGAAATCACGTTTGAATTTGCGCTTGTTTTTTTGCTTTCACTTTGCAATCGTGCTAACTGTGTATAGAGAGCGACAGCACTGATCTGGATAGCGTAGTGGTTAAACTACACGCCTTTGGAACAGAGGATCGCAAGTTCGATTCCTGCCTGGGGCGTCTGTATCCAGTAAGGGTCCTAAGGCTAGACCCCCTATGCTAAGCAAGCCTACCGCAGACATGAGCGAGACAGATAAATATGAAGGCATGCCGGCTCGGACGTCGCCCGGATCAACAAGGTCCGCGTCAGGTGTTGAGGAACCAGGGCACCCTGACGAAAAGTGGGCTACTGGAACAAGAAGGCATCGGTGGGCAAGGGACGAAAACAGGGCGTTGTTGGAATGCTACTACGCAAGTAACCCCGGCGGAAGGGGCTACATGAATAGGATGAGGGACCTATGGATTCTTCGATACCCAACATCCACAATGACGGCGAAACAACTAGTAGCTCAGTGTTCCAACATTCGAAAGAAGGGACTGCTCGCACAGCTAGAGATTGACGAGGTACAACACAAATGCTACGGCAAGGAGGAGTCAGGACGCCAGGTCAGGGGGGAGATATCATCACCCCCACCCGAGATTGGGTACATAGCCCCAAGTGCGATAGGAGAAGGATCGTTGAGTGCGAGAGGAACTGACCTGAAAAATAGGATCATGGCCAAGCTTGAAACCTGGATCCCCCGTAGCCGGTTACCAAGATTACGTGAAGTACCCTCAGAAGGTCTGCTAGATGATGTTAATGCAGCACTACGGGCAATACCTACAACCACGATTACCGACACTAACAAGCTGATCTACAATACGGCAGCAGTGATCAGTGAGATGCTTGGCTACAAGTTGAACAGCCACAAGGGGCAGTACCCTCCATGGAGAAGGAGGCTAGAGGGCAAGATCAAAGTAGCACGGAGGGAGGTTAGCCAACTAACGGAGTTGCAGAAAGGTGCGACAAATAAGGTGCCTAAGAAATACAGCAAGCTGTCCATACCTGAGGCCTTGGAAACTGCCAAGCAAAGACTCACAGCCTTGGCCAGCCGCTTGAGGAGGTACACCAGAGAGATAGAAGGCAGGAGAATAAACCAGCTGTTCTCCACAGAACCAGCAAAGGTGTACTCTCAGTGGCAAGGGAACAATAAGAGAACAGCACCACCAAGGCTGGAGACGGAGCAATACTGGAAGAGCATATGGGAGAAGGATGCAACCCATAACGGCAATGCTCAGTGGCTAGAGGATCTGAGGGCAGACCACAGCGACCTCCCTGAACAGGGTCCAGTAACCATCACAGTGGCAGATATCCAAGAAAGGGTCTCCAGTATGAAGAGTTGGACAGCACCAGGGCCCGACATGGTTCACGCCTACTGGCTGAAGAAGCTGACTGCACTCCACGAGCGTCTGGCAGCACAAATGAACCAGCTGCTAGTTAACGAAAGACACCCGGAATGGCTAACTGAAGGCCGGACGGTCCTGATCCCCAAGGACCCCAAGAAGGGACCGGTCCCTCCAACTACCGACCAATAACCTGCCTCAGTACTACATGGAAGCTCCTGTCAGGCATCATATCGGCTAAGATGAACAGGCACATGGGTCAATACATGAGCGGGACACAGAAAGGAATTGGCAAGAATACCAGAGGTGCAAAACACCAGCTACTGGTAGACAGAACGATCAGCCGAGACTGCAAGACCAGACTGACCAACCTGTGCACTGCCTGGA